CGCTTTGTGGATATCCTTGTGCTTGAACACACTGCCTCACTCCAATTACCAAATTTTTGAAGGCACAGAATTCTGCAAACAATTCTCCATTCTCGTTCATCACCTCACCTAGTGCTTCTCGACCCATGGTTAGTTCTCTTCCTGTGTTGTCCGCGAATGACAATGTATGGCACCAAATTATAGATAGTATTACTATATTTCTAAATTCTGACCAAATAAGCAATATCATCACATGATTTTCATTCTCTTACGAAATCAGGTTGTAAAATATTTCAAAAGATTTATAGCTGTAGGAAATGGAGTGTCCAATGCTCTTTAACTTTGATTATCTTCTAATTGGATCTTTTAAGCGAGTAAACCGCTAATCCATAGAAAATATGGCTAAGTACTGTACAGTACAGCTACTGTTGTTTGGGATAGCATCTAAAAGAAAAAGCAACAGAAGCTGTAGGATGTCCAATTAAACCAAGTGAAGAATATGAGGGGACATAGAACAAGATAAGGAGGTTCCAAGACTACTTGGAGACTAACAGTAGTGTTTCACCACATTTGGGCCTGCAGCCAAACGACTGACCACGTTCCCAGTGAGATGCGAACCCAGTACTCGTCCCTTCAAAAGTCAAAGTATCATCCACTGGGTTACCGAGGCATGAGGGCCACCCTTTATATGACGAATACCATTATTGTTCACTATTACTTGTAATTCCTCGTTCGTATACTGGGTCAAATTGCTCTACTTCTTTTAGAAAATGAGCCCCTATGCAGACTGCTCTCTACTGTTTGAATATCCATTACATTGTAGTCTATGTGGTGATGGCTAGTAGTTGAATCTAGGTAGCGCGTTTCGTTCGACTTGCAAAATAAGCGTTGTCCCTCGTCCTTAGTAGCTGTGGCGTTTCGAAGCGATTAGTTTTGGGTTAGAATCCTATTGAGGATATTATCACTCACTTGGAGCCAGGTGCATTTGGTTGTTGAATCAGTCTCACAAAGAAAGTAATACACATCATGGATTCCACTGTTGGCCATCAAATAGGCCACAATACGATGAATTTCCAGGTACTACCGGGGGATCAATATAAAAACCCTTCTGCTGACAGAAATCGAGCAATTCAATGGAGTATAGCAATCGGAAATTACAATTAACAATAAACAAGAAGTTACAAGTAGTCTAATTATCATTGACTTCAGTACATATTAAATCAACATTAATGTCTAGCCAGCATCTTGAGTATCATGGTCAAGTAGGCAGTACAACTCAAATAGAAAGTTATTTCGATCAATTTTAGACTTTTTCCAACCTAATTGTAATCTAATCAAAGGTAGATTTTAGAGTGAATGCTTGATCGAAATACATGGTACTCAAATAACTCAGATTCGTCTACTAACTCTCATTTTTCTTTTTCATTGAATAAAAGCAGCTAGTCAATAATGGAGAAAAAGATACGACAATAATAATTCTCAGAGGTCTTCCATTTTTATAAATACAGAATTAGTATTCCCATAAGTTTATTCACCTTTTACCAATCAAAGTTGATTTATTCAGACAGTAACATAGACTGTAGTGGTGTACACCTACTGTGAAAATGTGAGCGGTACTTATCATCTGAACATCAAAACCAAAATAGGTGAAGTGGGTTTCGAAATTCATTCAGTCAAAAATATTTATCCAACACTACATTCATCCACACCACAAAAAATATTTCAAAAATCAATCATCTTCCATACAGACACAGTGTTAAAGTGTATTATTGAGCATTAGTATTACACGAAGATGTATTTAGATGTGTTCAAATCATTCAATTTCTTTCCAATTCATTTCGATTACCACACATATATTTGTCATACATCTCACAATTCCTTCACCTATCCAGGCAGCACTGTTTCAACTACAGGCGACACAGGCACAGACGAGGATGTCAAAGTCAGAATCGGAAAAGCAAGACAGGTGTTCATTAGCCTGAAACCAGTGTGGAGATCTTCTGCACTCAGCATGTGGAACAAGATCCCGATTTTCAACACCAACGTCAAGTCAGTGCTTCAGTATGGCTCAGAGACTTGGCGCGTCACGAAAGGCATTTCCAATAAACTACAGACATTCATCAACAACTGCTTACGCTCACTCGCTACTGAAGATCAGATGGATTGCCAGAAAGAATAAGCAACAAGGAGCTCTGGGAACGAACCAACCAAGAACCTATCACGCAACAAATATGTGGAAGGAAGTGGAGATGGATTGGCCACGCACTGAGAAGGCCGACTGAGGACACCACGTGTCAGGCCAGTTACTCGAGTGGAATCCCCATGGGAAGCGACGAGTTGGACGTCGGTGTCGAGGGTGACATGGAGGAGGTCGTGCGAGGAGGGAATGAGAGCTTCTGGGCTGTCGTGAAACCAGGTTCAAAAGATCTCAGAGAACAGAGTGTACTGGAGACGTGCTACTGAAGCCCTATGTTCCACTAGGAACCCAAGGGACTAATAATAATAATAATAATAATACATCTCACAATAACTAACTTTACTACTCGTAATCAAAGGAATGTGATAGGGGGGGAGGGAGAGGAGGGATAACACGTAAGACAATAAGTATCATTGAGGAAATGTTGGGAGAAGCTAGTGTGTTCTTCAGTGACCTTACACCAGTGGAGTATTTCTTCACCGGAGTGAGAGTGTGCTCCCTGAGTAGTTATGAATTTGATCTGGCTGTGAGAACATCACTAAAAATACACTGAAGGTTGTTAGGATTGACTTTTACTGCATCATTAAGACTTTCATTGAATCTATCACAGTCAAAATAGCTACAGTTGTTGGGATTGATGACTTCTCCAATTACTTCGAAAGGGTTACCGTTAAACATGGGCATAAGTACACAGCGCTACTATCTGACTAGACAATATTAAGAAAATTTCCACCCTATCTACCTTTACAATGACTGATTTCCACTATTCAAAACGCAACAATAACAATGCAAGAAGTCCCTTAAGTTGTAACTAAGTTTAACCTCCATTTCAACTCACATGACGTTAAACGCTGATGCCAAATTCAATATGCTTGTGGTGTGAGCAGAAAATTCATGCTGTTCAAGTTACTCAACAGTGTTGGTCTCCATTAGTTTGTTTACTCATATTCATTTACAGTTGCCTAGATATGATTATAAGCTTTACACTGGTGTCGTTTTTCTGTTGATTTAGTCACCTTACCTTGTAGTAAAACCTTTATTATCGAATAGCGGATTTCATACAGTAGCACAAAAAATTGTCCGATGACTATTTTCTCCCTTCTTCTGTGTGATTCAGAGTTATTACTATATGAACTTTACAGAAGTCTCTTCGGTACGATATCCTCCTTTGTTTTAATATGTATATGGTAAGCATATCAAGGTAACTGAAAGAGTCATCAATCCAAGCAACTGAAGAGTTTCTAAATGTCAATCCTAACAACCTTCAGTGTATTTTTAGTGATGTTCTCACAGCCAGATCAAATTCATAACTACTCAGTGAGCACACTCTCACTCCGGTGAAGAAATACTCCACTAGTGTAAGGTCACTGAAGAACACACTAGCTTCTCCCAACATCTCTCCAATGATACTTATTGTCTTACGTGTTATCCCTCCTCCTCCCCCCCCATCACACTCCTTTGATTACGAGTAGTAAAGTTAGTTATTGTGAGATGTATGACATATATATGTGTGGTAATCGAAATGAATTGGAAAGAAATTGAATGATTTGAACATATCTAAATACATCTTCGTGTAATACTAATGCTCAATAATACACTTTAACACTGTGTCTGTATGGAAGATGATTGATTTTTGAAATATTTTTTGTGGTGTGGATGAATGTAGTGTTGGATAAATATTTTAGATTGAATCAATTTCGAAACCCACTTCACCTATTTTGGTTTTGATGTTCAGATGATAAGTACTATTGACATTTTCGCAATAAGTGTTGTAGATTATTCTCTACTTGATTGTTTACGCGGTTCTTAGTTGCATTTCGATTTTGGTTATTATTAGTGGTGGTGGTGGGGCATTCTTATTCAACAATGAACACTAAGGTATATATATGGTTTTTATATGCTTAGTTGTTTCAGACATAAACAGCTCTCTTCAGTAGCTTTTCTTACTATAGTACTAGTGACTTACTTAACAGCTAACCATCTATCTGTATTACAAATGTATCCTGCTAACGAACTGTCACAGGTACAAAGTTTCAATGAAGAGGTACACCTTGCAGTTAAATTCACTTTAAATATCTATAGTCAATCTATATTCTATTTTAAACACTTCCTTTTCAAAACTCACCCATTATGGGCCATGAAGACCATCCAGCAACTACTCAGATAGCCAATTGTACCTTCCTATTTTGTGAAAAACTACCTTCCTAATCGAAATTCCAAAGCATGATTGGTTATTTCATCAGTTGTTTAGGTTAGAGAGGTGTAGATTTAAAGAAACTCTCCATTTTCTTTGTCAAAGAAGATAAATTTAGACGAGTTGAATGCACTAAATAACTCTTAACCGTAGGTTACCTTGTTGAGAATAGACGCAGGTGAATTAATGAATACGAGTATGTGTACGCACGTGTGCTTTATCGATCTTTGTATGACCAGTGAAATCCCGGTTTCTACACCTACGCGATTTTCAGCTTTTAGTCATAAGTATTTTACACAGATTTTTTCACATCTTTAATATACTCCATGTAATAAGCATATATATATATATATATATATATATATATATATATATATATATATATATATATATATATAGAGATAAAAGAATTAACATTTACACAAACTGTTATTATCACTATTGGAAACAGACATTTTCATAATGAAATATGAACTTTGTCTTGAATGTCTTATTTGAAATAAAAAGAAAACCAATAGTTTACAGTATGTTCAACAGTTCAATATTGAACATTGATCATAGAGAGTTTTTAATCATTTTAAAACTAAATCCATTTTAATGCCAACTGTATATGCAGATGAGTTGTCCGATGGTAGAGGTGCTTCTGTTCTCTTGAAAATTCTTAGAAAGTAAGTCAGTGGTTATGATTTGATGTAAGAATATATTTTATGTCACGAGGCGAACTGTTGTTCATTAATGTATCAGTAACATATCGGTATGTGTGTGTGTGTGTTTGTAGGGTAAGTCACGCTAAAAAGCAGATGATTGCTTCAATTTGTAAACTATTTACAACTTGTTCACGCTCTATGTAGGCATTTCTCACAGCTGAGTAGCTTTTCAACTGCCCAACTTTAGTCCCGGTCAATGGGTTTCCCGTTGGAAACCATCCCGCAGCCACGATTATGAAGTATGATCTCTGACATTGAAGTGTCATGAACTAATAAAATCTACTACTACTGGACAACCTGAGAAGTGCATTCCGATAGTTCATGACAACTTTATGCCACAGATCACACCTTATGATCTTGGCTGCGGGATGATTTCCAGGGGGAAACCAGTTGACTGGTACCACAGTTGGGCGGTTGGACGAGAAACACTCAGACGTGAGAAGTGTCAGTGCGTAGTGTATGATTGTAAACATTTGCAAATTGATCATCCTAGTCAACTAGATAGGCAAATTCAGGTTGCCTGAACTAACTAGACTGTATGAATTGAATTTGTCCGGGCACATCATTTATGAATTGGGTCGACCTCAAACGAGAGAAACGGCTTCCGGTTTTTAGATCAGTGTGATCTGTTTGACTGATGAAATCTTCAGATGAGCCTCAGTAGTCCTTAACTTCTCAACAGTTGTCTCATTCCGGATGCCAGGATTTTCAGGTTCATTTATGGGCACGTTATCATTCAACCACTAAGTTAGAATCCTTAAGTCAATAACTTCCTAATTATGTTACTTCATGAAATTCTTCATACATTTTATTATATACTAGTCAGCCTATTGAAATCCAACTTTTTAAATGAATTAGCTGTCAAGATCAAGTTTCTCCTTGGAACTTGCTGATAGGTTCAACACTCAAGGTCATGCAGAGATGAAGTCACTTACTTCTTGATAGTAAACTTCGCAGACCTGCATAAGTAGTTTCTAACTATTCATCACGTTTACTCGTGGTTGTCGCATAGTTTACTAGCTCGATTGTCAGTCTTCGTCACGCCTAGTTAGTTTCTATCTACTAAGTGCTATTTGATGATATCGCATTTGGCTAATCTCATATCTGCTTATCTGTCAGAAATGTTGACAATGGTTTGTGTATTTATAAGTAGTGGTTAGTGCGTTCACCGTGAAACCTGAAGTTCTTGAGTTTTATCCCTAGTAGGAGTGGGGAGGGGTCATGAGTGTGTACTCCACAGGAATTTCTGAATTGTTTATCTAAGATTGAAATCCCCTCACCAACCTTTAAATAAACTGAACATAAAGATCTTGGTGTTTGATTTCAATAAAAAGTTGGTGAAATTATTGTAAATCTGTTCAACGGAAGTGGACATATGCCTCTGAAACTTGTCAGTCCTTCATTGTCTTCTAGTTCTCCAGCCTAAGCATCTTTTTAGTAACTGTTAAGTCATTTATGAATCGGTGAGTGTTGTTTACCAATAACCTCACTTTTGAAAGTGTTCAGTGTATTATTAATCTTCACCTGGATGTAAGAATGAGTCAACTACTTAGGTTAGTTTAGGAGAAAAACCATCCAGTCAAAATGAATAAGCACACCCACCTCAACGTCAAATGTTATTTCAATAATTATCTGAAAACGTTTTGGTTATAAAGAAAGAACATTATACACATTTGACCCCATGACTAAGAAGTACAGAATGAATATGTTCTGCTTTACATTCTTATCTTCCTTCATTCTGTCTGTAAACTTCAAATCGTTTCACCTAGACTATTTTTATCGTGTCTATTTTACCTTCTGTGTAATTTGATACAGTTTAAATATTAAGTTTGCGTTGTCATTAATTTAGTCATTATCTCCATCAAGGTGTTGCTTTGTGCTGCAATGATGTATGTGTGCCGAGATATTATCTACGCGCCTAGATCAACTTAGGCGGTTATCTTAAAGGACTCCTTCCAGGTTTTAACTTGACGGATAATCTACATAGCAGTTGGATGATGCCATCAGCTGCATTCCTGGGTGTTGATATCTAACCATAGGGGAAGCAGGGCTGATATTAGTTGAACGATGAAGGGCAGGTACGGCTGGCTTCAGTGGGATAACCTAGGCCTGGCACTTTGAGGCCTTATGTGTTAATGGAAATGCATGTCCATTTTCAAGCACATGCGTCTAATTATAAGCCGTCCGCTTAGTCGGTGACGTTCAGTCGACGTAGGAAACCATGGGAGACCAATAAAACGAAAATAACTGGAAATGACTTATCGATTACAGTTACAACAAAATATCCAAGCTAACAAAAAAGGTAAATAAAGCCACGGGATGATAAGGGCTGGAAGGTCAAAGCAAGGTCATCAAAAGTTGCTTATAGGAATTAAAACAAATAAACAAATAATAAAGGAAGGAAGGAAGAAAACGTCTTAGGAAGGTTACGACCAAGGTAAAACTACAGACTGAACGTATCTCTTTTGAATGCAAGAAGAGAAATACACTTCATCCACCGCACACAAGAATTAAAAGAATTAATAGGGATGATGCAGTAAATGAGCAGCTGAAAGCACTTCGAAGAGTGTTCATCGACAATAGTTATCATTCCAGTCTAGTTGAGAGGAACAGGAAGCATAAACACTCCAAAGAATGAACCCCTACGGTTCCAAAGAAAGCACCACTTATGAATATATCGGATTCAAGGCAGATGCATGAGTAGAACTACTCAAGAATCGATTGTGCAAAGCAGTGAATGCTCACCTTCTTTTTCACCCAGCTATGGATTCTTTTCTCCAGTTAACAAGTGATTCGAGGGCGTGTAAAGGATAAACTATAGCTTTGGGTTACCTCCTTGTGTGCTTACCAGTTCACCTGCTTTTGTGGTGGTGGTGGTTACAAAGGCTGCACAAAGCGTCTTCTGTCCAAATGCATCTCCGAACACTATCCTACATGGCCTGTCTAAAGGAGAGTGTAAAGCGAATAAGAGCTCGATTCTTCAGCATTTGCTTAACTGTGATCACTTTGCTTCATGGAATCTTCGTTCAGAGTCATTTATAAAGTGAAATCAAACATTTCGAAGAGAATGCATATTTGTTACTTGAAAACAGAAGAAGCTTTAACAGTTCAACGGTTCAAGTCTGATCTTTGTGTTCGAAAGAGACACATTCAATCCTTAGTTTTACCTTGGTCATAATCTCCCTAAGACGTTTTATTTATTTGTTTATTTGTTGGAGACCTACGAGTAATTTTTTGGTGACCTTGGGTTGACCTTCCTGCCATTACCACCTCGTGAATTTATTGGCTGTTTTCTATGGTTTAGTATTGGCTTATTAGCAATTTATGGATATATACATATTTATTTTGTTATTTAATTGGACTGTTTTGATGGATATTGATATCTTCAGTGGTTCAACTCTACCGAAAGCCCGAAACTAAGTTTAACGATTCACTGTACTCATCATCTAGGCATTTCGCAGTCATATAAAACTGGCGTTCCATCATTGTGTCACTCATCTTTGAATTCAAAACGTTACTACGACTGACCTGGTGTAGGGCTAAACTATGTACTCAAAATAGCTGCCAGTGGTCGAATGAGGTGGCTTCCCGGTTCGTAGTACTCAGGAGTGACCGAATTCTGTCAACCAGTTTTGTAATGTAGCTTCTAAGCCTAGAAATATGTCACTATGATGTGTTATATTTCAATTTTAGACACGTGAAGAACTAAACAGCTACACAGATGACCCGTGTGTATTAAACTCAGACGGGTAGTCTTCAGCCGAATAATTTCAAATTCCACCGGATGAAATACCTAGTAGTAATCGAACTATTCCACTAGAATCTACATAACTGCCTACATTTCATGTTCTTTCTTTCTTTGATTCCTCTTCCCAAAGTGGATTTGCTTTCCTTTTGCAACATTTTCGATTACACATTTATATCAATCAAAAAAATAAGCGCTTCTGTTCATAAAGTTGTGTTCTTGAAATCGAATGGTGTAATTTTCATCTGACTCAGATTCCCCGTTAGTTGACACTCATTAAAGCGATATTCATTCAATACTGAGGAAAGCCATTTCCCGTCGAAAATTTAGATTTAAATGAAACGTCTGTGTATGCAGTAAAGAGATATCAAAAGTGAATTTCTGTAAGACTGATAACCAGATAATGGAAGATGTAAGTATCATGTTCTGTGTTCTGATTGAAGGCAGACTGTCGTGTCTGCAGGTGTGTATTTACTTAAAAGTAACTTCTCTTCGGTCTGTTTGACTTCAGAACATTCTTGTATGAATTTTTTCCATCATTATGGCCGTGTGATATCCTCATATTTGATGCATATTCCTCTTATTACTAGCCTGGTGTTTTTGGGTTACCTAAGAAAACACTCTTTTATGAAGACCCTGACATACCAAGTAATTCACAATGGGAAGCTCAGTGATGCTTTTGAAGTGAAGTGAAGACAGAAGTAGGAGTGAAACAAGGTTGCCTACCATCCCCCATGATATTCGTGATTGTGGTGGACTGGATCATGCAGCAAACAGTGGGGAGCGAGAAGAGGGGGATACGCTGGCTGGACTGTGGAAAAGAAAATAGAAGATTTGGATTTCGCCGATGATTTATGTCTGATGTCACACAAACTCGAAGATCTACCGGCGAAAACTAACAAGTTGACAGAAGAGGTGAGGCAGGGCAGCGAAGACAGGACTTCAAGTACACGTAGAGAAGACAGAGGTGATAAAGATACCCACCCAACCAACGCCATCACCACCACCACCAACAACAACAACAACAACAAGCTCCAATCACCATCAATGAGAGAAACTTAAAGGAAGTAACCTCCTTCACCCATCTAGGCAGCACTGTTTCAACTACAGGAGACACAAGCACACACGAGGACGTCAAAGCCAGTCAGGATTGGAAAGACAGCAAGACAGGCATTCATTAACCTGAAACCAGTGTGGAGATCTCCTGCACTCCACT